CCCCCCTTTCAGAAATTCCTAGATCCTCCCCTGCTACGTGAATGTTTTGTTTTTTTCTTTCACCTGTAGTCAGTAATGGATTTGATGTTGTTCTCTGTAAGGCTTGCATCGACAAGTTTGAAGGAAATGGAAGTTTGCACAGTTTTGACAGAATCCTGCTGTCAGCTTTTGAGTTTGATGTGTACGATGTGATCAAGAAAAGCAGGTATTTGTCACAGCGCCGTTGTTTACTTTGGTTATCAAGGGTGTACTTTTCTGAATGGCAGCTATTAAATCCAGCACTGCTCTTTCTGGATATGATTGCATAGGTTTCAATAACTTATTCATGAGCAGCAGCCGATGGTGTTATTGGCGGTTGTGCCGTTAGGCGAAACCCAAACACAAAAGCCTGCTCGCAGGCTCAACAGACGGCCGTGAGAAGTCTTATAGGAGGGTGATACACCGCTGGTAACTTGCTTTTTTTGAAACCCCTGGATTTGCTGGCCTAAATTGTTATTGAATGTGGGAATTATGTTGACTTTAAAGTTGACGTTACACAGACTGCAATGAAAAATTGTCAACTACTTGTGAAAAAGTTTCGTGGCTGGTATTACGCGGCGTTTCGTCGCGGGCAGGAGACTCATCAGATACTTTTCGAAAATTTCCAGCGAACTCTTGGAGCATCGCACTCAAAGTCCCGTTCGCAAAATCAAGATGTGAGCAGTCTGGCCCTCCATCGCAGAAGGATTACTAACCGCACGTTCACGAGTTACAATATAAACGGTGAAAAATGGTCGAACAAATGTGAAAAAATTTCGTGGCTGGTATGACGCGGCGTTTCGTCTCGGGCAAGAGACACACACTGTTTTTTAATGCCGATTTTAACGTAGATTACACTCCATTTTAAACGAGAAAACTTTTTGCACGATGATGGTTGTGAAATCTCTTTCCAATAACCGTTTAGTGTCTGTTTTGCTGATTTGTGCTCAATAAATTGTTATTTCTTTCTTTGCCAATGAAAAGTTACATGTTGATCGTGAGCTTGAGATTTCTATCGCGTGGTAAAGTCCGAACAGATATCGAGAGAGAGTGATTAAATCATTTCAGTTTAATTCTATTAGCGGTTCAAAAATTAACGAAGCGTCACGTTTTTATTTAATTTTGTTTTCAACCGCATCCTGTTAGGCTCCCCACTCGAGCCACGATCTATCACGGATTAGATAGCGCAATAGGGACCTTAAGCAGTCAGGACGGCAACGTTAAGGAAGACGTCGATTAAAAGAATGAATTTCTAATTTAATTAGAATTTCGAAAATGGCTGCATGCGTTTACCTTCTCATACGGCGCCACAACTCAACCTCAGCATTACGTATAAAAGTAGCGTTGAGTTCCAAATGGAAATGAAAATAATTTGCCGTCGCGGTTTCGGTTCGCAGACAACGCAAATTTTGGTGATTTCACCTTGTTGTTTTGCAAAGGAAGGCTAATAAGAAATGCACGTGCTGAGCTATCGTTCTGCCAATTACATCTTTTTTTTTTCCCGCGTTCTCGTTGCTGTCGCCGTCGTGGTTTGCTTAAGGTCCCTAATAGTAAGTCGCGTAGCCATTCAGATTGCAGCATCCGTTGCAGTACGCATGTAGAGTTCTACTCATGCATGGTGTTTTAAAATTAATTTTTGTAGTCGTAAATATAAATGTAAGGCTTGCTTTATTCAATATCACACTCATCAACACAAGGACAGGGCTTTGCTAAAGCTCGAGTCTTGCGCAATATGAAAATATTGCATGTCTGCGGGCTGTCAGTGTGTTTGAAGAAGAACCGTGTGTTTGGCACTTTGTCCTTCGCTATTGTCTAGACTGTCAACCTACTTTTGAGCAATACTTTATTTGTCTGCAGCGAGGCTCTTGGAAACTGGTGGTTTGTTGCCCATCTGACTGACTTACTTCATCACTGTGGACAGCTGGATTCTCCTCACGTCATCAGGTTTGGAGAGAAATTTGTAATTTCTTGACTACAGATAGTGTAAAAGAAGTTATGTTAGGCCTGTGTATGTGGTGCGGAAAGATTCCGAGGAGTTCACAGGGTTTGAACTGAACTGAGTTTTGGAGCTAAATTGTGGTTGTGAGGCATGTCACGAAAAGTATTTTTCAACTTTATTATAAATCTTTGTGTGATGCGTTTGTAAATTTTGATTGTAAAAAGATCTTGGCAGGAATCTATACAATTAATAGGCCTCACAAAGCATTACAAACCAACATTCTGACCATGTCTCCGTTGGCTTGATAGCTCAGTTGGTCAAAGCGCAGCGCCTGGCACAGCGGTCAAACGCAGGGCATGCGCAAGCGGACCAATTTTGAGCGCCCATGTGCCAATTTCCCGTCAAAAATTTTTAAGAAAAATAAAGGAAACAACCGCTATCGCAAAATGAGTGAAAGAAAATTGAGACGTTCGTAGAAAACTGTAAAAGGAAACAAAAGTAGTGAAATGAGAAACTCGAGACTTTGAAGACAAAGGTTATTCAAGTAGGGATATCCTGATGATTTACTATTGTGTTTTGAACTTTACCACTAAAGTTATACCCTTCTAAAACACCGCGACCTAGTTGGTTGTGTGGTTGTTCCTAACTTTTGTGAGACAACTTGGGTCTGATAGCCTGAAAGCACGCCAGATAGTCATTACAACGTTTGCAAATCTGCAAACTTCTTAATGCTGTGTTCGTACCACTTGAATAGTATCACAGGGCAGTCGTGGGTTCGTATCCAATTCATACCTAATTTGTAAGGCCTAATTTTAACTGTCGGAAATATTTATCGTCCTACAAAATCTTAATACCGCCGTATAATATTATTTTCATAAACTTCGTTTGAGTTGATATCTTTATGCTGTTTTGTTAACAGTTTGTGTTACATTGCTTGAAGGAGTGATCTAATTATTTAATTGCAATACGAGGTTTGAAAAACCAGGTGAAATTGCCATGCGCAGAGCTGATTTTATGACGTTTTTTACGCTATTCATCTACTCAGGATTTCACTGAAATGCTCTTGACCACATGAATCAGGAAGTGCCGAGAATTCTTCTAATATACCAGCCATGATATTAAAACCACATGCGGAGACATATCACGTTGTTTTCGCAGCCCTGAGAGGCAGTTCTAGTTTTATTACATGTACACGTAGTGATGTAATTACGTCCTTAATTTATTGTGATATTACCTGTTGTCAGCCACAGTATAAGTCTGAGGGAGTTCCTAATCCTAGAGTATGCCGCCAGCCTCATGTCGCATCACAGGTGAGATACTCGATTTATTTTATCTTGGAGAAGAAAACAAACCTCTTCTGGTTTTTTCTAAGTTTTTCAAGTAAGTAAGTTGGGTTTTTCACCAGTCATGTCTTATTTCAGGGTTGGTGCTAGTCACTGTATGTCTCGTGCTATCAAACTGGTGAAAGAGGAAACTTTATTATCTAAATTGCTAATCGGTACATTGAAAAAAACATTTTGTTTTAGCTATAGGTTGTTTTCTATGAGCGGCATGTTAGCCCAACATGCAATTTTGCATTGACTGAGTGCAAGATTACTGATTGTTTAGCTTGAATCATGGCTCTAATTTATTATCCTTGTTGAAGCCTTTGGAGGGTTGCAGTGGACTACCTTTTGCATTGTCCAGTTTACGGAAGGTAAGCTTCTTAATCACATTTACTTTCGTTTGGTTTTCGTAAAGCTCTTCAGGTGATTTTCATTGCTCTGTGATTCATTTAAACTTCACTCATACAACTTTTAAAGAAAGAAATTTCATTTGACCCTTAAAATCAAATAAAGCAATGATCCTGGCAGGAAGCTGCAATTTTAGCAATTGCAGAAAAGAAGTCTGGAAATAATCATGCTTCGAACTTGTGCCTCCCAGATACTAGTTGCGCTTTCCTATCAACAGAGCTGAGATGAGTTATATGCTGGATTTTTGTCACGCCAAGACAAAGTTGTCCATTTCTTAGCTAGATCAAACGCGCTTGTCTAATCATTGTTTATTATTGGTAATTATTATCATTATAATCAATTCGATCATTACAATTGTAGGGCACACCTTGAAGAGTACATTGAGCATCTACCTCTTGAGACAGACAAGAAAGCCATGAAAGTGCTCAGGTTGTGCGAAGACGTGGAAATGCTTGCACAAGGTATGAAACTTAAGCCAGGCTACAGCATAATTTTTGTAGTAGTGACGGGGAGGCTCATCCTAAAATACGTTTTTTATGTTTATCTTCAATTCTCAACTAACTTGATTTTCACCTCTCACTTAACGTGATGCTTTTGGAAAATTCTAAATTGTGGCTGCAATCGACCTTCTAGATTGGGCTGGCCACCACTGGTTGCAAAAATAAAATGATGTTAAGATGAAATTAAGCAGAATTGGATTAGCACTCAAAAATGGCTCTTCTGAATGCTAAGATCACGGTTTCGTGAATAACAACCCCTTGGCTCAAGGACGTGAAATAAAGATTATATCGAAGATAGTTTCAGTCGTCATGAAAGTTTGCTTGTGAAAATTTAGTTTCACCAAAGTGTTGACCAAGAGTTTCTCGCATAATTTATATTCTTGGATAAATATTAGAGGTGAGACAGTGTAGATGCTTATTGAAAACTCCTTGGAAACGCATCCAACTTTGACGAAAACCATATATAGTATGCGGTTCTTTGGTTGCAAACCCTACAGTATTTGAATCTGAAATTGATTCAAGCCTTCCATTACAAACATATTTCCAACGGAAACACAATGTTTCAATAGCATCGTGAAAGAATGACACAGGGCAAAGAATGAGGGCTTACAAGGCAGTGGCACATGAGCTCTAAACGGGGGAGAGGTCTTTCAAAGGAGGGACTCATGAGAAACGTAAGCTTTGAACGCGGGGGGGCGGGGGAGTTGTTAGAGAAGAGGGCGTATGAGAACTTAAAAGCTCTTAGCTGAGCAGTCTTAAGCTCTTTACCTGGGAGAGGAGGTGGTGTCAAAAAGGAGTCTTGTGAGAAACTCTAAACTCTTCGTCTTCGTCTGGTGGTGGTGGGGGGGGTGCTGTCAGAGAGGATCTTATAAGAGATTTTGAGCTCTTCACATGGGAGGGGGGATGTCAGAGAGAGAGAAGGGACCTAAAGCAACCACGACGGCGACGGCAACGAGGACGTGGAAAAACAAGAGATCTAATTGGCGGAACAATAGCTCAGCACGTGCGTTGTGGAAGTTCGTACATTTAGCCGTCCTATGCAAAACAACAACGTGAACTCGCCAAAATTTGCGTCGTCTGCGAACCGAAACCGCGACGGCAAAATAATTTAATTTCCATTTGGAACTCAACGCTACTTCTATACGTCATGCTGAAGTTGAGCTGTGGCGCCTTACGAGACAGTAAGCTCATGCAGCCACTTTTGAAATTCTGACTAAGAGTAGAAATTCATTTTTTAATCGAAGTCTTCCATGGCGTTGCCGTCCTGACTGCTTAAGGTCTCTAGAGTCTTATGGAAAACGATAAGTTAGATACGGGGTTAACGAGGTACTTGAAGTTCTAAACAGGAATATCAGAGAGGGGTTTGTACGAGTGTAAACGGTGGACGATAGAAAGAGGAGAATGTCCAAAACGCGAACAGTTTGATGAGATTACAGACTGCAAAACATAGGACGGCTGTGACACAAGAAAAAAATTGCTAAACATTCTTAAGATATTCAGGCTAGGATGGTAGCAGCAGTTAGAATATACACGGAGCTTGGCAGGAAAAGGAAAAATATTATAGCGAAACATTCTCAAAACTACGCATCAACCAAAAAAGAACGGTCCTCAAAATGGACTTTCAGTAAAAAAAAAAGAAAACAGTAACTAACGTAGTGATAGTGTAGAGGCCACAGTAATGAGCCGCAACTTAATTTGAGTAGTTAGCACCATGGGACATTGCAAAACAACCATGACCCCGTTTAACATTCTTCTCGGTATATGATTATGAGCATGCAACCTTGAATTTAACATTGGGCTCAGGTCACAGAAATTAAGGAAAAAACAACTCGGACGGTGAGCACAATAGAACATTGCTAAACATGAAATTAGTTGTTTGGTTACCAGAGCAATGTTAGAACTACTGTTCACCCAACCCAATGTGAAATCGCAAAACAACCTTTTCAATAAAGGCGTAGGTCACCTTAATTAACAATATATTCGATAACTTTGTGAGCACAATAGCTAATTACTTAAAAATTAGCCGTCTGGTTATGAAGGCAGAAACAGGAACTCTTGATAAACACGCTGGAAAGGAAATGACAAAACAACTTTGGAAGTAAGGACTGGGCATATAGGACTGGACGTATTCATTTCTTAAACCGCAGTTCACATCTATGATTTTCATATATTCACAGCCATTAATTCATCACTTCACGGGTGTACTACGAACTAACATAATAACTAGCTCCCAGTTGGCTTGCTAGCTTAGTAGGTAAAGCAATGCATCGGTTTCGCAGAGGTTATGGGTTCAAATCACGTAAAGTGCTGAGTTTCTTTTCAAGCCTTATTTTGACTACTGCTTTAGTAGTGTTCGTTACGGCGAAGATCGCTGTTATATTCATTTCTTAAACCGCAGTTCAAATATATGATTTTCATATATTCACAGTCATTGAATACGCGTAGTTAACACAAAAGGAAATTAAGGGAAAAAAACAACACTTAGGCAGTCAGCACAATAGAACTTTGCAAAACATCAAATTACTTGTTTGGTTACCAGAGCAATGATGAGAACGAGTGCTCACTGAATTCAATGTGAAATTGAAAAACAACCATTAATTAAAGACTGGGCGTAGCTCACTTTAATTAAATAGATATTTGAGCACAATAGCTAATTACTTTAAAATTGAAGGCGGAAATAGGAACTCTTGATAAACACGCTGGAAAGGAAAAGACAAAACAACTTTAAACGTAAAGACTGGGCGTAGGACTGGGCGTAGGCCTGGGCGTAGGACTGGGCGTAGGACTGGGCGTAGGTCAGAGTTATTAAGAGCGAAGTGAATACGCGTAGTTAACACAACAGTATATTGCAAAACACTCGGAAATTGGTCGTTTTGGTACGAGAATAGTCATTAGAATTATGGTTCAGTACAGTATAAATTGAAAAACAATCTTCAAATAAAGACTGGACGTAGATCGAAGGGAATTACATAGTTAACACAAAAGAATATTGGAAAACACTTGCAAATTAGTCGTTCCGGTACAAAAACAATAATTAGAACTATGGTTCCACACAGAATTAATTGAAAAACAACATTGAAATAAAGAAGGGGTGTAGGCGACAATAATTAGCCTGAATTCAAATGACGCAGGTAGCACTAAAGCTATGAGAACTCTTGAAATACACGGTGGAAATGGAAAACACAACTGTGAAATAAACTAATAAAGGCTGATAGTTTCTAAAGAAACTGTTTGGGGCTGCGTGGGTGGGGGTAAGGAAATA